AGGTCCAACATGTTTGCATGTTTTACGATTGTCTTCTTCTACCAGGACCCTCTGTCCTTGTGCCTTCTCATGTCTCCGCCGATCATTCAACTGCTAGTCGCACCCACCGAAGAGTCGCTCGAACCGTCACCGAGTCGTAGTACCGTAGTCCGTCGGTTCTTGACCGCTGAATGTGAACTGTCCTTGTGCCTACTCATGTCTCCGCCGAGCGTTCAACTGCTAATCGCACCCACCGAAGAGTCGCTCGAACCGTCACCGAGTCGTAGTACCGTAGTTCGTCGGTTCTTGACCACTGAATGCGAATCCAGCGTCACCGGTACGGACTACCCGACTTGAGTGACTTCTTGGTCATAGTCGGACCCGACGAACGTTCGGTAGCGATGTACCCTTGGTCATCTTGCATCGTGGTCACCACCTGTCGCATGACCGAGCGTTCGTGGCTTGAGCAACTTGAATGTAGCCGCTTCAGCGATTACTTAGAAATCACTACACCACATATCTACAAGTACTATTTTCCAAATCCGAGTCGGACCTTATTCGAGAGCACCGAGACCGGGAACAGCACATTCTGCATTAATGTGCGCGAATTGATGAGCGCCGTGTTTGCCTCACTCATATGGGGTCGTTCCTGGATGTGTGGTCCCAGTGACGGTAATTCACACGTGCGGTTCTGGATTGATAACACTACTGCAGTAGCGTGGAATAATCGCAAGGCCAGCCGAAACGGCTTCGCACAATTACTACTTCGGATCCTCGGAATTTGTGAAGTACAGCATGGATTTTACTCTACTGCAGCACATATTGCAGGAGAAACAAACACAATGGCCGATGCAGGAAGCAGGGTGTGGCAGTCACGGCGTCGGCGTTACTATTTTCTAACTTAGTTTCTGACTGGCAGCAGGTTCAGATTCCGGACGACATGCGAGATCTCTCGCGTCTTTGGGAGCTTTACTGTGAGCAGGGGCTTTAGCGCAGTCATCCAGGAAAAGCAACTCTCGAGCATGGGCACAATGGACTAGGTGGTGTTCAATGATGCAAGAAAGTCCTTGGCTTTCCGAGTCAGCCATCGACAAAAACCGCGGAATAGCTCGGTACTTTTGCGGTGTACTTGTGGAAGTATGGCATGAATCGATCCCAAATCGGCAACACCTATTCTACAATTTGCTCAAAACTCTGCGCAGTGCGATGGTTCCATCGCAAACACCGCTGGGTATGACCCCGGGGTCAATGCCAGCCATGCCATACTTCTTCGTGGGCATTCGTCGATTTACAAACCCTGTTGTGAAGCAATAACCCCTGTCTGCGCGGGTTTTGCGAGTGATTTTTCGTGGTCTCAACCTCACACACCCACGCGACCAGCTATTATGGGGTGGGTTGTTGCTGGGATACTTCTTTTTACTACGCCGCTCGATATATCTGTTCATCAGAAAAAGAGTGCACAATTATGCTTTGCGTCTATCAGCTTTCAAGTTCCTGGACGAGGACGAGCGGCCGGTGTCTCCTAGAGATGCCAAAGTGGTGGGAATAACTCTGCGTGGTGCGAAAAACAATCAATTCGGCAGGGAGGAGTCTCGATTTCATCATAAGTCAAATGACAAGCTACTCTGCCCTGTCCGAGCAGCTCGATGGGTTCTCAAAGGTGCTAATCATTACAAGACAAGGCCTGAAGATCTGGCACTATCCACAAGTGTGGGTGGTGGGATAACCTCAGCAGTGATTGCAAACACGATAAAAGATGCGGCGCGAAAGTGTGGTTTCGATCCCGCTAGATTCTCCACTCACTCTGTCCGGATCGGTGGCGCCACAGCGCTTCTAAATGCGGGTGTAGATTGGCTTGTTATCAAACTCCTGGGGCGGTGGCTTTCTAACTCCTTCGAAGAGTATCCGGTATTGTCAGCAAAAGGATCGGCGAAGTTATCCAGCCAGATGTGCTCATTTTGATATGCAGACGAAGGTACATGCGAACCGGACGGCAACATCATTGTGGGGCAGCCGCCACGCCACGCCCTGGTATGGCAAAAGAGAACCAGTTATTTGCCTCTCAACTTGACATTTTTGGAAATTGAAGGTTGCGGAGCCAACGGTAACAGCGAAGTGGAGCTGGTGGGGACGAAGGCAAATTTTCCTAATGTCGAAGTCTGTAATATAGATATTTCAGTAGACATGAGTGAGCCCACGGCTCTCCCAGCTCATTCTTCGATTCGCTACGTAGAAAGCTAACCCGCCACGCCACTCCCTGGTATGGCAAAAGAGAACCAGTTATTTGCCCCTCAACTTGACATTGCTGGAAACGCAGTTCTTCTCTATATTTCACTTTGGATTCCTTTGTGGTGTTTCTGGAATAGCTTTGGTGGTGGTCGCCCCAGGCGTTGAAGTCAAACCCTTCGTCTAATCTGTAATTGTTTTGTTGCATTTACTTACTTCTTACTTGCTTGAGTACTAAGTACGAATTACTTCTTACTAA